TAAAAAATTTAATTGTTACTATAAAAAGAATTTTTATTAAGAAATATAAAAATTATCATGCAATTAATTATTTAATTATTATTTATAGTTACTTTAATATTTTAATTAATAATATTGTAATTTAGTTAAGTTACATAGCCTGTATTATAGCTAACTCAAAAATAGATAATCTAGCCAAAAAGAACAGAATAATTCAAAAGATCAAAAAGTATAATACGAGTAGAATAAATATTAAATAAAAAATACTGAGATCATAATAATAAAAAGAATTATAAGAATTATAATAGTTACTAAGATAATAATAGTTATTATAGTTATTAGGATAATTATAGTTATAGATATAGAGAACGAACATATATATAGAAAACTTTTATTATAAATAAAGGCTAAAATAGCCTTAGTTGAGGAATAAGTTTCCTCTTTTACTTTATTAAATAATTACTTAACTCTTTACATATAATAATTGTTTATTAATAAATAATAAATTCATTAAACTATCTAATTCAGTTTGTTACTAAGTAGTATAGTGATAAACTTTGTCTCTCTCTCTAAACTCTATTCATGTAATCCTTTGTTAAATTTGATATCTGTTTAGTTGTTAATCTAATATACTTAGTACAACTATAGTTAATTTGTTTAGCTTACCCAAAGTAGTATAGTATAGCTGAGATTAAAGTAAAATAATAAAGTATCTAAATAATAGAAAGACTTACTTACAGAACCAACTAATTCACTAAACCTAACATACCTCTTTTTAGTAAAGCCTACAATAGGTTATAAAAACTATTTAGAATATCAAGTAACTGATTTGTCACTGTACCTTGTTTTATTTAGTGGTAACTATAAGATCAAATATCTCAAAATATAATAAATTTTCCCTCTTATGATGCGAAAATGACAAAAATAGATTATAGTATAAACAAAGAATATTGGAATAAAAAACTTAGCTTTTAGAATAACTACTTAAAGATTAGATTAGAAGAAAGAAAATATAAAGAAAAAGAATAGGAAAGATTTATAATAGAAAAGAATTTAAATAAGAAGAAGAATTAGACTAAGAATACACTCAAAAAATAAACATGTATAAAATATATTTATCTAGAATAGTAAAACTCCAACTTCCAAAATAAATAAAGAGTAGTTAAAAGAACTACTTGAAGGCATAACTGATTCTTTCACCCAAGTTACAAATATAATCACTAATACAAAAAAGAACTCAGAAAAAAGAAGATAATTAACTTATATGAAAATCAATCCTTTCTATAGCTATAATAACAAAAACCTAATAGAATAGTTAGAAGCATTCAAAAGTACTGATATAGCAAATAACTAGTCTGAAGAAAGAATGCTAAAAATAGTATTTAGTTACCTTAAAGATTTGGCTGCTAATTGGTATAAAAGAAACAAAAAAGATTTGAATAATTAGAAAAACAAAGAAAACAAACCAAAAAGCTTTTATCACACCTTTATCGAATTCTTTGCTACCTTAGAAAAATATCATATGTTGCAGAAAGAACTAAATAGTCTCTAACAAAAAAAAGATAAAAAAGTCAATGCATATACTGCAAAATTCAAAAGATTATTAGGATGAGTAGACTCTGAAGATAGCTTATCAGACAAATTTGTAATAAGGATATTCTTGAGTAGACTAAAAGAAAAGACTATGATTTTTGTTGCAGTATTAGAACCTGAGAACTTGGATGAAGCTATTGTTAGTATTAGAAGAGTAGAAGCAGTGAAGTATTATAGTAGGCAACTCTCTGAAAGAAACTAACAAAAGAAATTAGAAGAAGAATTATGTAACTATCTCAAAAAATAGAACAAATAGCTCTAAACTTCACTACTTTAAATTCTAACTAGATAAAAAAACTTTACAACTATGAAAGATACAGTAATAACTTTTGAGAAGATAACAATTGAAAAAACACTTAATAAGAAATCTCTCAAAGAGGATCTATAAGAAAACTAAAGAAAAAAATAACTTGCTACAACTACATCAAAATAGATCATATTATCTGGTATTGCCTATTTAAAAAGATACCTAGAAGTAATGAAGAAATTAAAAGAGTTAGTAATTATATAAGAAAAGATAATCAAAACAGTAATAATAACCTATGAGAAGAACTAGATGAGGTCTATGTACTGAATAAATAGCAAAGATACCACCCTTATAAGGGAAGTAGTAATAAAAAGAAACTCAAGAACAACCAGAATTGAAGTATAAAAACAGATTAAGAAATAAAAATACACTACTCAAACTCTAGTTAATACTACTAGAGGAAAATTAAGAGCAATGGACGAAGATGTATTCATCCCAGAAAAATGACTAAGGAAAAAAAGAGTACTATCAGTTATAGACAAACTTATCTTATACAATATCACTAAAGATATTTTAAACTCTCTAGCTAATATAACCATAGAGCAAATACTCTAATACTCTAACCAAAGATGAAATTTGGCTAAGATACTAAGAAGACTATTACCTCTAGTACAAAAGGCTAGTTATATAATATTTGAGGAACTAAAGTGTACTACAGCTACTAGATGCTAAGTTAGAATCAAAGGAAACTCTGTAGTAGCTGTATTGAACTCTGGTGTAGTCATTAGCATCATGACAAAGAAATTAGTAGATAAACTAAGATTAAATATTCTGAAAAAGTTATCTACTATCATAGTCATAGCTATGGAAGCAAAAACAAGAGCATTGAGAAAGATAAAAGATCTAAAAATCACTATTCAGGATATAATAATACCTAATACAGTCTAGGTTATAGAATTGTTGAATGAAACCTTGCTGCTGAGAACAAATTAGTTTCAAAAAACAAAAGTGAGAATCCATTTCAATGAACAAAAATTAATCTTCAAATACTAAGATTGAATAATCAAAGTACTGATTTTGCATACTGAAAATGATTTCCTAAAACAAGACAAGAAAGATGAAAAGTAAGACATTGAAAACAGAGATATATTTGATGAGTTTACTTATAAAAATAAAAACCTAGACAAAGCAGAAGGGTACTATATATTAGAATTATCAGAAGAAGACTTCAACATCTATGAAAACTCTTAGAAAGATAAGGTCAACTCAGCAATATATTTGACAGTAGTAGAAGAACTTCCTACACAAGAAAGAAAAAAAGAAACACTCACTGAAAAAGAGAAAATGAAGAGATTAATCCAAAGTGAAGTCTTATTCGAAAAAGAAAAAGAAAAAGCTTGAAAATTTTTTAATAGAAAGATTAAGCTCTTTAACAACTAAGATAGTTTGAGCCAAACTGATATAACTAATAAGGCAATACTTCTATAGTTGTAGTGATATATAATTGATTAGATATATAGTTTGTGAAAGTTCTATTCTTTTATATTGTTTATATTTTATAGTTTTGCTACTATTGTAGAATTCATATATCAAGTTTTCATAATACTAGTGTTATTATAGATAAAATTTGCTTGAGTATGTATTTGGCTTAAAGATTGTCCAAATTGCTAAACTATATGATTGTTTTTTAGAACATATAAAAGCATTTATTACTTATAAATATATCATCTAATTTGTTACTATAATCTAATTGTTTTAAATCTTCTGTTAGAAGGCAATAAAAGGTTTCTTATTCACAAATTCTGCTAAATTCATATACTCTGTTATAGCTTGTTAAAACAATTCTCTTATTAGATCTTAGAGGATAGAAGCTAACTTATTCTATTATGTTCAGGATCTAAGTTCATATTGAAATTACCTATTACCAAATTGATTATATAGTCTTTATCTTTTGAAACCCAAATATTATAAAAGATAATTCTATCATCTACATTAACTAGGGCATATACATTCATTATCTGAAAAAGAGTTTTCTTATAGTTAAAGTTAGCAACTTTACTTTTCGCTCAAAAGATACAGTAGCTAAATTATTAGTTTTGGAGGAGTTGTGTAGTTATAAAGACCTTAGAATTATCTAAAGAATACAGTTTATAATGTTGTTATTCTACAAAAAAATAATATAATTTTTTTTTATCCTATAGTGTCTTTAAAGTAATTGAATATGGTATCCATTACAGTGCTTTGTAAATTAATATTATTAAGATTTTAATTTCGGATTCGCAGTTACAGTAAATACTGACACATCCCATGATACTAATAGATTAACTGACGCACCCTATCTAATATGACGTTATCAAATGTATTTAATCTTTATCTCTCGTGCGATAACAAGATTTCGAATTATATCGGTTTCGAATTTATTAAATATCATAGCAAATTTTTTAATTTATATTTTCTTTTTTTTGAATTTCTCATGAAGTAATTGTTATTTGTTAACTTACGTATTTAAATATTGATTTATACTTAAATAGAAATTTATTCCCAAAAAGTTGAGGGAATCTATAAATAATTATACTGAAAGAAATTTCATTATCATAAATGACTAAAAAAAAAAGTTCTATTATAACATTCTTGATTCTTAATAATTCATTGGGAATTACATTTTTTGCTAAAATACGCGAATACTAACAATTTCATCAATTTTAATTAGTTAATTAATTTAATAAATCTTTTCCGTACTATGTCTAACTGCTTTCAAAAACTTTATTTAAAAAAAAAAAAAAAATCATTCGACTCATTCTTTTTTCTTAATGTATTCTTGAGAAATAATTATTATTATTTTTGATGAAACCTTTTCTACAAATTAAAATAGTTGAATTAAGTGTTGGACATTAATTTTGAGCATTTTAAGCAACAAAATAAATTTTATTTACACAAAATTTTATCGTGAAGTAAAAAATATTTAGAATTAAAGTAATATAAAATGTATTTTTTACGCAAATTTTTAAAAAAATTTATTAAAGAGTTTTATAATCTTGATTTTATGAATGGAAAAGGTTTTTGACATTAAAACGTAAAGTAAATAGTTGAAATTAATTATCTAATAAAAACAAGAATTTGTTAATACTTATATAAATTTACAGTTTGTAGATAAATTTTTAAATCATAAAAATAATATACATTAATTTGCCAAACCGCAGAATTTAAAAAACTGTTTCTCATCTAAAACTTTGCCAAAATCAACAGAATCTAAATTCTCAGTCATGGAAACAAAAGATGGAAGATTCATTTTACTTTCTGAGTTAATATTTACAAATAATTTTTAATATAAAGTATGATTAGTGTATATTTCATATTATAGGATTGAATGATAAAAGTAATGTAAAATACCGAGTGTAGAAATGGGTGGATAATTAGGTGGAGAAATAACAACTCCAGTAGTTTTGGCCTTTAAACAATTTATTACATAATAATTAATAAAAATAATATTACTGTAATGGTTCGGTGAATTTCTAAGAGAGTAATAATTAGCAAACCATATGACTTCGATCTGATGAAAACACCTTGAGAAATGTCTCAGAAGGGACAATTCTATATTTCCTATAATATATTACATTATTAATTATCAATGTCATAGAATATAAAACAATGATTAATACCTATGATATTCTGGCAAATCAACAAATGGCAAAGATTCTTTTGCAAAAGTTTCAAAATCGCATGGGAACGATAGGGTGGTATCAAGGTCATATATCCATGATCTAAATTATAGAAATGTTAATTTGTGACAAATATATTATAATAACTCATTTCTCAATTAGAATCCTACCTTTTTTTATTAGTATTTTCATCATCTTCTTTCAACAAAAGTATTACATGATAATCCTTTTTTGAATTTAAAATAAACGAAATTTCGAATTTAATTAAAATGAAAAGAGGATTGAAATTTTGAATAT